ACCCCTGATCCAAAAACAGTTCATTTACAGTTTTACCTACTTTCTCAAAACAAATCTTCCACATTTCTTCATTACTGTCCTCATGATTCATGTTTAGTTAAAAAAGTCCTCTTCCCATAAACAATAGGTATCAGAAGACTAATTCTAAGGAAGGAGTTGAGATTGTCTCAAGAATTTTTCATTTATGTTAAATGCAATTTTTAGAGGTGTTCATGTGAATATGTGCCACTGTTTCAAAACATAGTAATCCATGTAGGTATAAGCACTATCTATCTGGCTATCTTGGGTCATAAGAAAGGCTGGAGAATGAGAGTGGGATTTCAGGATCCTTGCTGCATATCACAAATAGAAAATATGATGTTGGGAATAGGACAGGCTTAAATTTAATGCATCTTTAGTTAGACTTAATTTCATTCAATAGTAGTATTTGAGTATAGGATTCTTTTGAGCTGGGGACATATTCACATCACCATAACACACTGCCTGGATTCCAGGGGAATCATAATTTTTTAAGTCCACCACATGGATTTCTATGAGCTGAGAACTTCTGATCTAGTCTACCTTAACACCTGGGCTGGGATTTGTTTCAGAACTCTAGGTTGCAATCTCTAAGAATACTTTCCCAAGATTCTAATACTTGTGAATATTAATTTCTGAGAACACAGGACTGGTTACATAATAATTCAACCAAAAATGCAATCCACATACCTTTTACTTGAATAAGTGAAAAAAATCTCATAAACCCTCTTTTGATATCCTCATAGATGAAACTTTAACAAAGTGTTGCCCAGGATGACATTATCAACAGATGAATTGTGGAATGAGTAGAGTGGTCATACTTAAAGAATACTAATGGTGGCTTCATGTCACAGAAGAGAAATGTCTGAATGGAGATAGAAGACTATTGGTCTATTTAATATTGTTTTCAGTTACTTAGGAGATGCCACAGAAGGGATGCATATGGAATATAAGATTATACAATCCAAAATGACTTCAACAAATTAAAATGTTGGAAGAAACCAATGAGGCAAATTTGAAAATTTAAGCCCAGCATCTAGGATGATGACACAAATGACATTAATGGAAATGTATTGAATAGGTCACACTCTTCCACATTGGCTAAACCATTTCTGAGGATATTGTTGGTAATTCTGTCTAAAAGACATCAATGAATTGGAACAAGTACAAATGTGAACATCCAGGATGGTTAGTGATCTGGGGTTAAGGTGGAGTTGGTCTAGAAATCATGAAGGTTGGCTTTCAGAAATGAGGAGACTTTTCCAAGAAAGAATACTAAGGAGAGAGAAATCTGCTCTTAAATACTTGCAGAACATCTATGTTCTGGATGGCTCCTGATGGTGAACCTCCAGCTTATGCATGGAAGGAGAAAGGGCATAGTTTTCATCTGTATTAAGGGAATAAGTCTACACTAGGTCCTTCACTATGTACTAACCTCTCTGGTTGCCTAGTAGGCTTTCATTATAGTTTACATGTACTTAATGGATAACCATTGACCAGGTTTGCTAAGAAATAATGTTAACTCTCCGTGGGTAGTTAGATTGAGGATCTCTAAAGTCCTTTGGTCCTTTTGTTGCCACAGAGTCATTTCTTCAGTTGGGTACTGGACAAAGCCATTGGTTGGTACTAGGGGCCATAATGTTTGAAAAAAATAAGTATTTCCAAACATTAGAATTACACAGAGTGTGTTGAGGAATTCTCATGAGATGAGACACCTTTGCAAATGGAGCTCACCAAGTCAGGCAGCCTCCTGACTCATGCTCGGTCTAGTGTTCGTGTGGCACAGTGTGTAGAACTATCAGCACTCTTTCAATTATCATATCTCTCTGCCTGATATGCAAGTATGGTGTATCTTCACTGAATAAGCATCGTTTTCACCCTGTAAATAACAGTACGCAAATTGGAGATGGAAGGGGAAAAATATGGCAGGGATATGGAATCCTTCCATAAAGTGGCTGAAGCTACTTCCTTCTTTCATCTCAAAAACCCTGAGTAAAGCTTTCACCTTTGCTTCTAATTCTTGAGATGAATTCTTTCCTATCCAGCAGTGTTTCTTCTTTCTACCCTCTTTCCAAATACTTCCTTTAGGAACAGTGAGTTCATATCACTCCTGCAAGTTAGAATCTAGAGTCAGTGTTAAAATGAAATTGTGTATATAATCAAAATTAATCTGAGAAATTCTAAAAGAGCAAGAGTTCGATCCCTTGAGCCCCGACATTGACTCAAGCTGTGACAGTTTCTTCATAGTCTGCCATCCACAGCTACTCTACTCATCTCCCAAAACATAGTATTTCTTTCCTGGGCACCCAAATGCCCTATATAGTAGTCCCAGTGACTAACCTAGGGACTAGTCTTGCTAAGTACACCCCTGATCCAAAAACAGTTCATTTACAGTTTTACCTACTTTCTCAAAACAAATCTTCCACATTTCTTCATTACTGTCCTCATGATTCATGTTTAGTTAAAAAAGTCCTCTTCCCATAAACAATAGGTATCAGAAGACTAATTCTAAGGAAGGAGTTGAGATTGTCTCAAGAATTTTTCATTTATGTTAAATGCAATTTTTAGAGGTGTTCATGTGAATATGTGCCACTGTTTCAAAACATAGTAATCCATGTAGGTATAAGCACTATCTATCTGGCTATCTTGGGTCATAAGAAAGGCTGGAGAATGAGAGTGGGATTTCAGGATCCTTGCTGCATATCACAAATAGAAAATATGATGTTGGGAATAGGACAGGCTTAAATTTAATGCATCTTTAGTTAGACTTAATTTCATTCAATAGTAGTATTTGAGTATAGGATTCTTTTGAGCTGGGGACATATTCACATCACCATAACACACTGCCTGGATTCCAGGGGAATCATAATTTTTTAAGTCCACCACATGGATTTCTATGAGCTGAGAACTTCTGATCTAGTCTACCTTAACACCTGGGCTGGGATTTGTTTCAGAACTCTAGGTTGCAATCTCTAAGAATACTTTCCCAAGATTCTAAGACTTGTGAATATTAAGTTCTGAGAACACAGGACTGGTTACATAATAATTCAACCAAAAATGCAATCCACATACCTTTTACTTGAATAAGTGAAAAAAATCTCATAAACCCTCTTTTGATATCCTCATAGATGAAACTTTAACAAAGTGTTGCCCAGGATGACATTATCAACAGATGAATTGTGGAATGAGTAGAGTGGTCATACTTAAAGAATACTAATGGTGGCTTCATGTCACAGAAGAGAAATGTCTGAATGGAGATAGAAGACTATTGGTCTATTTAATATTGTTTTCAGTTACTTAGGAGATGCCACAGAAGGGATGCATATGGAATATAAGATTATACAATCCAAAATGACTTCAACAAATTAAAATGTTGGAAGAAACCAATGAGGCAAATTTGAAAATTTAAGCCCAGCATCTAGGATGATGACACAAATGACATTAATGGAAATGTATTGAATAGGTCACACTCTTCCACATTGGCTAAACCATTTCTGAGGATATTGTTGGTAATTCTGTCTAAAAGACATCAATGAATTGGAACAAGTACAAATGTGAACATCCAGGATGGTTAGTGATCTGGGGTTAAGGTGGAGTTGGTCTAGAAATCATGAAGGTTGGCTTTCAGAAATGAGGAGACTTTTCCAAGAAAGAATACTAAGGAGAGAGAAATCTGCTCTTAAATACTTGCAGAACATCTATGTTCTGGATGGCTCCTGATGGTGAACCTCCAGCTTATGCATGGAAGGAGAAAGGGCATAGTTTTCATCTGTATTAAGGGAATAAGTCTACACTAGGTCCTTCACTATGTACTAACCTCTCTGGTTGCCTAGTAGGCTTTCATTATAGTTTACATGTACTTAATGGATAACCATTGACCAGGTTTGCTAAGAAATAATGTTAACTCTCCGTGGGTAGTTAGATTGAGGATCTCTAAAGTCCTTTGGTCCTTACAACCGTAATGGTTTGTATCTGTGATTTATCATAAGCCTTAAAACTTTAGTCAAGAAAAATAGACTTGTATTTTATGTTTCTTATAGTTGATAAATGATAAGTTAATATGATTTTAGTAACTGTTGTTCTGTGGTCTTAGTATAGGACATATTAGCCTTATTGAGAATGAAGTATTTATTTCTAATTAAATAACTATTATTTGTTGAATGCTTATATATACCAGATGTTTGCATAGCACCTATGAGTAGACATGATATTGCTTTTGATGTATAGGACTTAAATAATAGGGCTAACTGTGTACAAGTACATAGTAGGGTTAATATTCAAAACTGGGTGCTTAACCAATCTGCCAGGTTGATGCCTCTTAAATTTTTTCTGGGACCCAGATTTCCTGAGCTTATAACATGTTGGGCTTCGCATACATAGTCTTCAGGAGTCTCTATTGTTGTCCATTTATTGTGGGTCTTTTTCAGGGTTTGATTCCTTTAAACTTCAATAGGACCAATATAAATACCTGCCCTTGACGAACATTTGAAAAGCAAACATCAATGAGAAACATATAAAACCCTTTAGTGGGCTCTCAGGAGTTTTCCTAAGTGGATCAGAGGAAGCTGAGACACGGACATCTAGCTGACCATTAGCACACACTTTGAAAAGACTCACAGATGTGAAGCTTTATAAAGTAGATTTGCATTTGTTAAAGGTCGCTCTCCACCGAGTATTTGCACTTATGTCTAAGATAGAAGAAGGCCCTCTGCTTCATTCCTCCAATTTGTCTGTTCCATGATCAATATCATAGTCTAGACTAAGACAACTACAGAATCTTACTGCTGCTTAATTTCCCATAAGATCAACTGGACTTCCTGAAACATCTGGGGTGGGCAGCAGAGGGAAATGCACGGTAGTGACAAATATCTTTATGCCACATTAAGATGCACAATTAACAGAGCTGAGTGCTTCCTGTTATTTTTAATGCTATTCTACTGGGATCTCCCAGCAAATGTTTATGTCTTATTTACCAAATAAAGGAAATGCTGCAAGAGTGAGTCACAGAGCCCTGCATTTGAGGAAAAGTCAATGATGCACTTGGCATTTCACCCTCTAGCAACGGTCTAGAAGCGTCCCGCTCCTGCCAGCCTTCCTAGGTCTGGTATAGCCTCCTCCATCTGAAGACTCTGTTCAGACCCAGCCTGGAGCACCAAAGTCATCTTCCTTCCAAGGGCATAAAAGTCCCCAGGTAAGTCCCTCTAGGGGTATAGAACACTATGTTCCTCTTGCTGCGAATCCCACCCTAGCTTCTTTCATAAGGCCCAGGTATGGGGCCTCTGCCTTGCCTGATACCATTCTCTAATATATGCCTTGGTTTTAGGCACTTAGTTCTCTTCTTTTTCCTGTGTCTGAATCTTTGTGTCTTTGAAGACTAGATCCTGGAGGCCTCACTTCTAGCTGCATATGGCTATTTCTTCCATTTAACAAAAAATATTGAATGCCAATATGACCTAAGGTGCTGGAAACAGTGATGAACAAGACATTTTCTGATCTCAGGGAGCTTATAATCTAATGGAAGGGAACAAATTAAAAATATAGATTAAATAAAGATAAACAAGATGGTTATGATAGACCTCTTTTAAGGGAATAGAGTTTAATAGACACCTGATAAGCCAAGGGTACAAATGTGCCAATGATAGCAAGTTTTCAAGGTGAAAGACAGTGAAAACAAAATGAATGAGGAAGTCTATGCTTAATGTGTTTGAGAAAATACATAAGGCCAGTGGGGCATAAATAGGGGCAGAATGAGGCATGAGATGCAGCCTGATTCAGTAAGTCTTGGGTAAATCTAATTCCTCTTATACATTGACCTATAAGCCTTTGTGAAGTCTGCACCCTTTACTGTTTTATGACCTCTAAAAATAACCTTGATTATAAGATTAACCTCATCGGGGTCTGGCAAGTTTTTTTTCCCCCTCCATCTACACCCAATAGTCTGCTCTCAGCATGTCATCCATTTATTAAGACTGAGTTGATTAAACTCCCTGGGTTTTGCCCAAGGTCATACAACTGGGAAACAGGACAGGCCACTTGCAAATTCAGTTTGAGTTTCAATTCCAGCTCCATTATTTTCAATGTTACTAGAGTAACTACTTTACCTTTGTTAGTATGAAATAGAGATGTATCATTGGCAGCTGAGAAGAGTGAGTTAATATATGCTAAGTAACTATAATGGGTCCTTGCATATAGATGGTACTCAGACGTTCACTATAATTAATAATATATCAGATGTATCTGTTGGTTCAGTTGACTATTTGACATCTACACTTGGTCACATATCTTAAACTCAACTTACTATCTCCTCTCTCTTCTTATATCTACTCTTTATTCAATATTGTCTATCTCAAAAACTGGTACCACCATCCATTCATTTGTCAAGAGTGACTCAACCTTCTCCCTCAATTCCCATACCCAGTCAGTCACTAAGCTCGCATGTGTCATCTAGAGTGAATGGTTCATCCTGGTTTGTGCAAAACTGTACCAATTTTAACACTGACAGTTCCCTGTCCTTCCTATGTCTAACTGCTAAACATTTCTCAAATAATTTTTCTTTTCCCCAATCCTAAGCCAATCTACCATTTTTCTCTCATCTGGATACTGCCATAACTTTCCAACTGGCCTCCCAACTTTACTTTCAGCATCTCCATTTGACAATCTACCATGGCCAGATTAATCCTTTAAATCAGACAAAAATCTGATTCTGTCATTCACTTCACATAAAATACTAGAAAGGCTTCCCATTGCCCTTATGATAAAACCCTAGATCCTTAGGTGGTTCATACTTCTCTACCTGGTCTGGGTCCCATCTACCTTTCAAAACTCTACCTTACCACCAACATACCTTCTTGCCTTCCCCCTAAATACTATACTCCAGACACCCTGGGCTCCTTTTCTTTCTCTGAATTAACTAAGTTGTTAAGGTTCTCTGTACTTTCCCATATGCTGTCAGCCATTCTGAGTTCAGCCTTCTGTCCATCTAGTTAACTTAAAATTCCTACTTAAACAGCCCTTTCTTGGTGGAATAGTTTCAGAATCTCTAGGTTAGTTTCCATAAATTATCTTATATCATTTTAAAGCAGCCTATATCTTTCAACAACTTTTTAGTTACATCTTGAGTATCTTCTTCTCTGGCTAAATTTTCAAACCCATGAGGTTGAGCATCATAAGTATCCTCAATGGTATCTTCAGCCCCTAGCAGTGCCTGGTGTGCGGTAAACATTCAACTAATTGTCCTTAAATGAATAGATGAGTGAATTAGTAAAACTGCTGACAGAACTATTGTTTATGTTTTGCCAGTTGTGTATTATTCAACTCCAGGAACTACCCTCCATCTTGTAGTCACTGTTGAATTGTATGCTTTTTATGACACTTATATGGCAAGTAAGTGCCTTGAGGAAGGAGTCCTGTACCCACAACGCATAGGCTAAATTAGGCTATTGTAACAAACAACTCCTACATTTCTGTGGCTTAACCAAAAGTTTATTTCCTGCTCATCTACAATAAATTGCAGGTCCAGAGTCACTCTCCAAAGTAGCAGTCCTCCATTCTTTGGGATCCTAGGATGGTTTGATTTTTGTTGCTGCCATTTGATGCTCCCATAATATTGAGTCACACAAAGCATATCCTGGAGGGTCTTGTGTTAAAATTTAATTAGGGTGACCTGGAGGAGACACAGAGATCTTTTCTTCAGAACCATAAGCCAGAGTGGTCACATGGCCCTGCCCATGATAAGTGGGGTGGGAAGGTGTAATTCTTCCAGTGTTCATAGAAAGAGGGGGAAACTGGGAATGAATGAACACTCAGTATCTCTAACATAGATATTTTAATATAAATTGTACAAATTTGCCCTTTGGGCTAGTGCTCTGAAGACTTAAGCCACTGCTATGTCTACATGATAATTTTCTTGGGGTCAGGAAAGACATCTGAACCTGGCATAGGTATGTAGGGGGACATGGCATTCTAGGCAATGGGTACCCACAGGGATATCAAAGTTGGGGGAAGCCTCAAAGGGAGTAAGTAACATTTTACCAGGTGGCAGCAGGCTAGAGCTTTGTAGGAGGCTGGTCTGGGGGTTTTCTATAGTAAGTGAAGGCATGGTATATTTGACGAAAAGATCATTGGACTTGGTATCATTGAACTGGGATCAAATGTTTAGCTCCACTGATTGGCTGTAGGGCCTTAGTTGCTTAATAACCTTGAGCTTGTTCCACATCTGTAAAAAGAGGGAATCTTATACCTGCCCTGTCATCTTTCACAGGCTCCTTTGGTGAATCACAAGATGAAGTGTTTTCATAAAGAGTGGACTCTTTGTTATAGTAAGTTGAATAGATGTGAAAGCACTATGTAAACTTTAAAATACTATATAAAAATATAATGCAGCATTATTATTACAAAAGTTATTAAGGAAAATGAAAATGAATACAGAGCACAAGAGAGGATTATAGTGTTTCCCTCTTGAGTATTCACCTGAGTGTGTCTCCCTTGATTTGTATTCCGGGAAGGAATAATGTGAAGGCCTGTGTGTTTAAGACATATTGGCTCCATTCTGCATTTGCATATTATGGATTGCCCCTAACATGCATTGAGTGAAAATCTTTATGAAAAAAATGGTGCTGTTGTAGCAGAATACACCATGGTCGCTTTTATCACCCTTTCTTAGGTTCAGCCTTTTCGCCATGAGCTAGGAGGAAAAAAAAAAGAGTAAATATTTCAAGTAAATGGCTTAAAATTGCCATATTAAAAAAAAAAGTAATGTCTGGACCTTGTTTAGTCCTGAGATGCATAAACCAACTGTAAAATGATGCCTTCTAGATAATTAGAGAAATCTGAATATAGACTGTACATAAGGTGAAATTAAGTGATTGCTGTTGGTTCTGTTAGGCACATTACTGTCATGGTGTTAGGGAAACTATATAAACAAAACATGACCTTATCATTCAGAAATTCATACTGAAGCATTTACACATGAAATGACATGGCATCTGGGATTTCCTTCAAACTAATCCAGCAAGCAAAAAAATAAACAAACAAAATTAGGACAGACACTGAGAGGTGAGAGGTAATGTTGGCAGAATTATGATTATTATTGAAGCTGAGGGATAGATGCAAGGAAATTTGTTGAAGTTCTTTTTTTTTTTAAAGAAACTTGTTATATTAAAAGAACTTCAAAAATTTCCATGTAAGAGGATGAAGTCATTCCTGGGGAAGTAGAGAGTTTCTAGAAAACCTTTGTGAACAATGAATACTTTCAGAAAATTATCGTAAGCAACTTATGCCAAGAAGGGGATTGCTGTATGTCACTCTGGAACCCAGTCCTTTTGTATGACTAAGAGATAAAATCCAAACATGTGATCACAGCAGAAGTGATGTATTAGAAAAATGCAGTTGGTTCTAATTCTTAGAAGTGATGAGAAACAGACAGTTGGCCCTTAATCACTAAAAATGATCTGAAAGTCAAGCTTTGCTCTCTGCTGATCCTCTTTCTCTCCTATACTGGCCCCCATTAATGATGCTTGAATGCTCTGTCATGTTGTAGCTCTGTTTATTTAAATATGTGTGAGTATGAGCATTTGTATGATTGGACCACAAATATCCCTTTGTCTGGGGATGCAGACAAATGGTTCATCCAAAGCTGTACAGAAATCTAAAGGTTCTAGCAATGGCAAAGAACTGGAAAAGATATTAGTGATAATCACCTGACTCATTCATTTATTGGTTCATTTATTTTTTGAACCAAATTTGAGTGTTTATATACAGTGCCTGGCACTGTACTAGGCACTGGAACTCAAATGGTGAATTCCTCATGGAGTTCATAGTTTAATGAACCAGGGGCTGTAAGTCTTGTCATAAATGAAGAAATGGAGGACCAAAGAAGGCAAATGATGACACTGTGCGTGTGTGTGTGTGTGTGTGTGTGTGTGTGTCTGAAATTACACACTGGGAAAAAACAGATATTCACACCACAACCACAAAAAATCAAAAACAAAAACAAAACTATTATGATCTATACATGCACACAGTCTTATAACCAGGCTAAGCTGCTTTTTCATTCCCTAGATGTGTCAGCCAATTTGATGTCCTCATATCTACTTCTCTGCCTGACTTGGCTTCCCTCTTTCCTAGTCAAGAAGGCTAACTCCTCTTTCTTCTTCAGAACCTAGAGTACATGTCACCATCACTCAACCTTGCTGGGATGTTCCTGCCCTGCTACACAGAGAAATCACACAGTGTGCTCTCACAGCACTCTGTTCAGACGTGTGACGTAACACTTGAGACCTGGGTGGGCATTTTGTTGTTCCGCGTCTGGCTTCCCTGGGGAACTCTGAAACTCTCGAGGCAGGGTCTCTATCTCATGCATCATTGTATCAGCAGTGCTTGAAACAGTGCCTGATTCATAGTAGATGATCAACAGGTGTATACTAAATAAACGAATGGGTGAATTAATGAATCGTGTTAAATAAATGAATGGATTAAAAAATATCAGATGAGCCTCTTTGCCATAAAGGGTTAGGCTCCCAAGAGTAGCATACAGGCATTCCTTCAGCCAAAGTCATAAGGTTTCTAAGTTGGAGGAGGTCTTAAAGTTCATCCACTTCCAGCCCATATTTTAGCTTTGGAGTACATACTATGATGGATTGGGCTTTCCTGGTTGGCAGAGTGAATTGCCTTGCTATGCTTTGATTACTCTAATGATTGTGTGTTAATAGATTCCGGAGAAAATAGGAGAGCCAGTAGGTATGAGAGGGAGGGGCAGGGAATAGCAGAGACAAAGTTAAACATTTACAAAGGGGCTTATCTGCCTCGAGAAAATGGTCACATAGTGTCCTAATGACCTCCCTATTTAATACTGCAGGCCCCTCCCCAGATTCCTCATTCCCTTACCCCGCTTTACTCTTTAAGTTTTTCCGTGGCAGTTATAAACTTCTAACATACAATACAACTCATTTTCTGATCATGCCCATTGTTTAGTACCGTCTAGCTCCTGATTTGGTATTCCTTTCTCCACATACACTTACCTCTCACAGGTTTATTATATTCATAGCAAGTACTCAGTTTTTGGAGGCCGTATAGCATGATGCTTCAGAGAGGTGCTTATCAAGCCATCTGCGGTGAAGGACTTGTTACATTTCTACTCCATCATGTGGATCTAGGTGGGATCCTGTTGTGCATAAGTAGCATGCAGCCTGCACCATACTCACTGTGTCGGTTTAACACCACCAGAACTGCTCTTTATCCTGTTCATTCAGATGAATCTGTTGATCACTCTTAGATGCCAGACTAAGAGCAAATTGCTCTAGTTTACATAGTGCTTACTCTCAATGTCCGATTTATCTCATCTCTCACTGGTAACAGGTCATGGACAGGCACCAGTCTCCTGACTATACTTTGAGGAGCAATGAACTTCAGAGTCCATTGCCTGGGTCTGAATTCTAGCTCTACAGCAGAATAAAGCATTGTGATTTTGTATGTGATTTCTTAGCCTTTCTGGGTCTCAGTTTCCTCCTCTGCAAAATGGGGATAATTGTAGTGGTCCCCATAGAGGGTTATTGTAAAGATGACACAAGTTCATATATGTAAAAAGCTGAGAACAGTGCCTGGCACAGAGTCAGTATTCAGTAAACATCAGCTCTTATTGTTACTCCTTGACATTTTCTCAATCAGCAACACTCCCTCATTCATAGACAAGAGTCATGCTGGGAGTACAGGTGAAGGGGGCTGTTAGTGGGAACTTGGGAAGCCGGACGCATATATAGGGACTCTTTCCCTCTAAGCAGCAGTGGGCTTCATTTAGTGCCTCCAGCAGGAGAAGGAAAGAGGATGCATATGGCTGAAGATAAAAGAGATGTTTTTCTTGACCTAGAGGTTCCTAGTGATTTTGTCCATTTTGCAATAAAGTTTTTACTTCTGGGTGAAACTCAGCTTCTCCTAGAAGAGGTGAGAATGTACAATGAGAGCTGTATCATTTTCTGGAAAGTTTTGCAGTCCTTGATGAAGTTTGCTTTCAGCCTAACTTCATGGTCCTTGCCTGTTTCAAGCCAGCACCTCCTTGGGGAGACAGTTTTGACTTGTCAGTAACGCTCTGAGAGGTGGTCTTGTAGAAGTGTCCCAGGACGGTACTTCTCCAACCTTGATAAACATTTATTTGTTGAATGGATTTGTGTATATAAGCCCAGCCCACTTTCTAAAGAATATTTAATAAACACACCACTTTTGCATATTGAACATTTAGAAAAGATGACCAGTCAATTAATTAATGAGGAGAAAATAGATTCTGTTTACTAAGCTGCTTTGCTTAATTTAACTAATATTTGAGGGATGACTGGACTGAAACTATATATACATACCACAAACTCTTGTGCAACACATACTATATTCTAGGCACCATACTAAGGATTTTATATGATTTAACTAATTTAACCCTCTTAAAAGCCACATCTAGTTAGCAAGAGTATCTCTATTTAGAGATGAAAGAACTGGGATGCAAATAGGTTCAGTGATTTCCCCAAGGTCATACAAGTAGTGAGTGACAGAGCTGGGATTGGAACTCAACCTGTCTGGTTTAACACCCTTGTCCTTAACCGCCATGCCACACAGGATGGTTAAAACTCTGTTTTAAAGAAAAGCATATCAGAAGTGTAACTATTTCATTGTCAGGTAAAAAGAGGTTGCCGTTTGGTACCTATGATGTGTGGATATGGGCAAGTTACTTCCTGTCTCTGAACCTTAGTGTACCGATTTTGTAAGTGGGGCGATTTGATAAGACACTTCCTTGGTGGGGGGTCTTCTAGTCGTCACTCACTAGGTGTTCCTGCCTCTGATCACTACCACCACTTCCTTATCAGGGGCTCTGCTTGGTTTCACTCTCTCTCCTTCTCCTTAGCACCTTCTACCTTTCCTGATTGCCCCTATTTATTGCCCCAATTTGGCTGCAACTGGCCAGAAGGAATTTTCCGAGTTGTTTCTGCATGAGAGACAGTAATCTACCAGGCACAGTCCTGGGAGATCAACAAGCATGAGGATCCACAAATGGAGCATAATCGAGGGCCATCTACCTCTTCGTCGCACAGACCCTCCAGCTCTCCTCGTCCCCTCAACCAAAACAGACATCACGGGGAAGTCCAGGAACAGACAATGATGGACAGATGACTTAAAAAAAACCCTAAATTATAGGATCCTTCAAAAAAACTGAGATTCTGTTTGATTCACTGATATATTCCCAGTGCTCAGCATAGTACATGCTACATCCTAAAAACTCAGTATTTGTAGTATAAGGAAGGTTACCTAGATCCACTTCTATCCAATGCATAATCCCACCTTTATAATTACTGTCTGTATGTGTGAAGCTATGCAGAGCTTAAAAGCCCCATTCATGTCCATTATTTCATATATTTGCAATTATCTCACATAATTCTTCCTGGGCTCTAGGGCACCAAGATAAACTCTGTTCATATCCTTTTTTTTTTTTTTTTTAGAGGACTTCCCTTTGCAACAGCAAAAACATCTTTCCCCCACACCCCCTCCAATTCTACTCTCCAGAAGTTGGTCAGGGATTCAATTCAAGAAACTTCTTTTCTGAGAGTCTAGTGGGTATCAGGCAGTCTTCCTAGGCACTACAAAGCAAAGGAGAACAGAATAGTCAAGAACCTCAGCAGGTAGCAATGACTTGTAGGTCAGGGAAAGGAGGACACCACATGGATTTTCTTCTTTCTTTAGTCAACACAACACTCAGACTGTCTGCAGAAATAGATGTGACTCACATGGGGCGTGACCACACAGCTGAGAGGAATCCACAAGATGGTCTGTCTTGGTATCAATAGTAGGAGAGAAGGAACCTTGGCTACTTCCTATGGCACAAACCAGAAATAAATATTTTGGTTCATTCAGGAAAATATTAGTCATGTCCTCCTTTCCACTAACAATGGCTGACAGTGAATAATGGTGCATGCTGTAGGTGAGCACAAAGATTTCTAGTTCATTACTTTACATGATTAGTCATGGGGACTTAATCATTAAAAGCCTTGCTTTAGAAGGACTTGCCTGCCTTTCAGTGTTTGAAGCTGTGCTTCATTAGAAGTATGAGTTAAATAATCTCTAAGAACTGTAAATTCCCCTTTTTATGCCAGTGATTCGGATTGGCCACCGACTTCCGTAGGCAGCTGTAGGCTTAACTTACTCTGCTCCGTCTTGGAATAAGGAGAGTGGGTATAGCAGTACTGTGTGGTGGCATGAAGTCATGTAGACACTCATGCCGAACCAAGGCCCTGAAAAGGTGGGGTGGGCATTACTTCTTTTTTAAAGAATCATCCAGGTTCTTCATGGTTGAATCAACGTGATGGAGAAGAGGTCTGTATTTCTCCAAGTGAATTGCTCATAATGGAAATTCAACTATGAAAAAGTAATTCCTTCGGTTGGGTTCCTCTGGATCCACTTTTACAAGGAATATTTCCTTGTGTGGTATTGCTAATGAATAAAGGAAGAAACATTTTCTGATGCCTACTTCACGGACCAGAGGCCATATGGGTATAAGCTTACCTAGTGTTTAAAATTCTTTTGTGAACGATGAGATGGATGTCCAAATGGATTATGTAATTTACCCCAGGGCCAAGTAGCTAGCACTATGAGATGCAGTCAGAGTTCAAATCCTAGGATTATTAGGCAGTTTCATCATAGCACCCTGCATCTCCAATACCTCCACATGATAGAGTTTGCATCTCTCTTGTTCTTAAAAAGATAGTTAGCTAAGTAAAGACAATGGACACCAAGAGAGAGTAGAGATGAAAAGAAGGGAAGTAGATGTCCCATTCTTCTGTCTTTCCACCCAGCAAAATATCAGCTTTGGAACCAAATTACAATCTGTCTTCTCAGCTCCAAAACCTGAGGAAATGAGCACCACCAGCCCAAACCCTGTGAGCCTCTGCCTCTTCCATCTTTTGCCCTTCTCATTGCTCAATCATCACAAAAACACGGTCCCTTGATACTGCGCCCTTAGTCTTTCCAGTCTTTCTTATTCCATCTCATTCACTCTCTCCATCACCTCTAATCCATTCACTCTCTATTGACTGCAGTCTGAGTTAACGTTCTCCATGTTTTTGTTAGAAATGCTCTCAGTAGAGTATTAATGATCACCCCCCCCCCTTTTTTTTAACCAAATATAATAGGTTTTTCAATCCTTAGCTTGCCAGACTTCTTTTCTGCATTTTAACCATTGGTCATTATTTGCAAAAGTTTCCGTTCTCCAAATTCTTCAAATGTCTTAGACCTTCTTTTTGGATTCCCATTCCCTTGTCCATTTGTTAATTGCTGGCATTTCTCAATGCTCCACCTGGGTTTATAGCTTCAGGGGTGACCTACAGGTAGAGACACCTTCTTCCTCATTTCTAGATAGCATAGCCTGTGACACATTTCCATCTAGGTGTCCTTTGGTCATTCAAACTCAATATATCCAAAGCAGAACATAGCCGCCTACCCTCTGGAATTTTCTTTCTCAATGACTGATAGCACTATTCACATGCATTCCTAAGCAATTAGCCTGATAATCAATAAAGTAATTCTTGCCTTCTTTCCCCAATTGCCTGCCCAAATCCAATCATCAAATCCAAAATGTTACTTTTTAAATCTTTCTTGAATCTCTCCCTTCTCTCTCCCCACTACTCTTGTCTCAGCTATGGAATTGTTACTCTTTGGGCTCAACTATGGCAGCAGCCTCTTGACTGGTCTCTCAGTTTACACTTTCTCCTCCTTCCTTTTCTCACCACAAACACCAGTGTGACTCATCTGAAATTAAAAGCTAGCTTTCCTATTAAATTTTTCAAGGACTTCCCATTTTATTATTACAGGTCAAACGTTCAGCTCCTTTGCATGATACATAACAGCCTATGTCATCTGTCACACGTGACTTGACCCTTGCAGCATTTGGAAAAGTGTTTGGCACATGGGAAACTTTCAGTTATGCTGGTTTCTTCGGTGATGATGAAGCTGGTGGTAACCACGGCCCAGTACCTCTGCCTACTGCCTTAGCTGCACTCCTGTCATTTGTTCTCCAGCAACTGCCTATGACTTACACTTTCTCAAAACAATATGCCAACATTTTCCTTCTGTCCTTTTGACCCACACGGTCCCTGCCGCCTGATATGTTTTGCCCCATGAACTGCTTTCCCTCTGGTTAAATTACTCCTTTCTTTCTCTTTCAGGTGTTATTTCCACCTGGAAACCTCCTCCTAAAGACTCCTGGTCAGAGAGGGTCTTTTCTTCCTCCATACTTTCCTCGCCCCTTGTGAATACTGTGTGTTATGGCTGCCTATTAAGCTAAGTCTCTCTGCCCACTAGTTGGTGGGCTTAAGGACCGAGATGTTCTTGCTCAGTGATTCATCCCAGGCGTTGGGCTGTCACTGAACACCTGTGAAACGAATGAGCAGCAGAATGGAAAATCGAAGGATGAGGATGTAGACTGCAAAAGTGACAGGACTCTGGAAAGAAGAGGCAAAGATCAGCCTCAGACCTCCCTGCGGGTACACAAAGGCCTGCTTTTGTGTTTTGAAACCATTCTACCATCTTCTGGTTTTGTGTCCTTGGTGTCTGCTTCAAGGACATGCTTTATTGAAACCTGCTTTATTCAAGCTTCATTTTTTAGTTTGGGTTTTATCGGGAATCAGCTATCTTTAGGAGATACATTCTAAAAAGTGTTCAGGCACAAACACCTGAATAGAAATAAGAATTAAAGGTATTGAAAGCTGGTTTTGATGGACATGAGATGGATACTGTGAAACCTATAGTCCCCCCGGGAGGGGTGTGGGTGAAGGGGCTCCCTGTAAGGGAGTGAACCGCTTTCTTCCACTCCATGGCCAATGCAAAACTGCATTCTTCACCATTTCACAGAGGATTGGCCTTGACACTGCCTATCTCTTAAATTACCCTCAAGTTGAGGGGAGATAGCAAATCTCTACGCGTGATTAAGAACCTTTTAAAAGGGCAAAGTTCAGAGGGAACAAAAATTTCCTGCACAAAACCATAAACAATTACAGTCCTTCGGCCTTCTTTATTCCCGATTGGTAATCAGCTCCTTGCCCAAGGATATAAGGTGTGATATTTGTGCACATGCTAATCAAACTGTTCCAAAAGTCAGACTCACACAAGACTTATCCTTCCACAAAGTAAACACAAGCCGCCGTTATTGTTTATCACCTCAACTATAAAGAGCTCTAAGTCAAGTACTATTGATCCAAGTAGAAGAGATAAAACCTGAAGGACGCAGCGTGTGTTGTTCTTTTACTTGCGGCCACTTCCGTCTCTCGAGTTTCACATTTCACAGGATCATAAAATGCACCACGCGGTGGTCCACGTGAACACAGCTGCCGCCGACCCTGCCAGTTACAACAGCGTCTGAGAGGCTGAGGGTGACGAGTGGGTACAGTATTGACACTGTAAAAAAAGCACAGGCAGTGGAGCCAGAAAGGTCTATTTCTGCAAGTTTTACTAGAGTGCTATTACCTCTTTTACACTCTGGTTCCTGTCTACTGCCAAGATCTTCATATATTTTGAAGTTTTTACTTAGGTGCATACAAATTTAGGATTGTTATTTCTTCTTGTTGAACTGAATCTTTTATCATTATTTTTTTTAAAGTTCCTCATGATACTTCTAGCCTTCAAGTCAATTCTATCTCTTGAGACTCATATGGCCACATCACTCTCTTTTGGTATGGTATTCTTGGGGTACAGTGTTTCCTTCTTTTGACTTCCAACTTCTAACTTCGTTTTAATTCTAAGAGTGTTTCATTAGCAACATATCACTGGATTTTTAAAAATCGAGGCGGACAGGTTTTGTTATTGAACTGTAAATGAATCATCCATTTACATTTGACACAATTACTAGTAAATTGGGGCTTCTGTTTGCATCTTCATATTTGTTTTCTACTGGTCCTACCTTTTTGTCCTTTATTCCTCTTTTCCTACCTTCCTTTGGATTCATTGTGTCATATAAAAAATGATTGCATTTTATCTCCACTATTTTTTGGAGGAATTACCTCTACCCTTCAGAATTTCTCTCTTTAGCCTCCTACCTCAGAAAGCATCAAAATACAGCAAACGTCTTGAGAGGAAAGCCTGTTGGATGCTTGATGCAGGTTCCTTTTTCTACAGGGACTTTGTGTACTAAGTATCTCAAGACTACAGTCTTAGGTTCCAAACTTTCCCAACGCTCAGCTCAGGGGCCCAGGGCTCCTCCAGGTCCCAATATGCTCTATGAGCCCATGCGAATGTCAAACTTCTGCAGGTTTCTCTTTCCCCCACTGGTGGCCACTGACCCAGGCCAAGTCCAATCCTTAGCATTTGTCCAGAATTGGTAAACAGCCTCAGGGAAGGAAATTATGGGCAATCTCGGCTCACCTGAGAAAGACTTCTCTCTGTAGTTCTAGCTCAGAGAATGATCTTTGCTTCCCCAGATTGCTAATGTACTTAAAATTATGATTTTGGGGGTGACATCATTTTAATTTTTTTCTAGTCAGTTTAGTAGGAGCAATGGCCTACTACTACCTCCCTAGAAATGGAATTCCCCTTTATCATTATAATTATACATCTGAGATGCAGAGGCATATGTAAGTAGGCAGGGCTGGATTCAGAGTGCTTGGTGTGAATTCCTGTTCTGCCATGTAGGCTTCACTGGGCCTTGGGAAAGTCATTTAACCACTGGGCCTCTATTTCTTCTCTTCTAAGTGAAAATAATGGTGGAACTCATCCCAGAGGGTCATTATGAGGATCTGCATAATGAGTGGTGTAATATTTCACATGATGCTTTGTACATAATAAGTGATCACATTGTTAGCTATTATTAGATTGTATTGATTGTATTAGTTAGGAGCCCAGAAATCACTGATTTTAAATCAGATACTGCTTAGGAATCGTGTGGCTTTGGATGACTTATTTCATTTCTTTGTGGCTCCATTGCATCATTGTGAAACACTGGACTAGTAATAATATCTCATAAGGGCTTAATTTCTAATTTTGTAGAGGCTCAGGTTTGAATCATGGGAGTTGTGAGCCAGGAACATCAATCATTGAGATCACAATGGTTCTCAGATGCTGGTTTCCAAAGCAGTTCATGACCAACACCCATGTCACGGGTCTAAAGCTTAGCTAAGGTCTCAGATAAATTTGTAACTGAACTGCGTGAATAGCATTCAGGGCATTGTTCTCATGTTCATCACATGAAAAAAGACTTCAAACAATGGTGTTCCAGAGTAAGCTGAGTATTCTAGTTCTACCGTAAGTGATAGTATTGAATATAGATGCTCAATTTTAAATTAGCATCAAAAAAATTATATACTCTTTAATCCTATCATCTGTCAAAGCATGCTGGGGGTTTTCTATATTTTCAAATAATTTTATTAGTTTACCAATTGTATTTTGAGAAACACTGTCTTTTATTCTAAGATTATGTTCTTTCAACTTTTCTTCTTAATTACTACAGTTATTGCTTTCTGAAATGATGTTGGATTGTTGTGTTGGCTTATTTTAGATGATTTTATTTAGCTACAATAAAATCCTTTTGAATTTAGGATAGTCTCTTAGTTAAACAAACCAACAAACAAAACTTTACTCAGCTATAAAATCCAGAAGTCTGAGAACCGCTCACTTGGGTATATCATAATTCAGACTCTTCCCAATCTTTCTTTAGCTTTTCTCAACTTCAGATATGTTGTATAACACTTGCCAAATATCTACAAGTCATGGATATATCAATTTGTCATTTGTACTCACTGCATTTTATGAAAGAAATTATGTGTGAGTGGTATTCATAGTTTCAGGAATTTTCAGAAATCAGAGCTATATTAAACTTGAGTTCCAAGGATTCATTTCTGAACTTTTAAATATCAGCTCTCACATTGTCAACATTCTAAATCTTTTTAACAAATGGGAGAAACTGAGGCACGGAAGTTTTGAACAATTTGCTTCAACTTGCATGATCAGTGTTGGAGTCTGATAAAGCAGCCAATTCCATGAATACCTAATGTTTTCCAGGCAAATATGGTCCCCTTTCTGTTTTCCAAGCAGGGCAAATATAAAAGAAGATAATAAATCTCCTCCCCTTTGGCACACTTCTCCTCTCCCCAGAAACTATGTCACAAGACTGCGCAGTTCCTTATTGACTCCTGAATCCAAATCATGGTCCTGCTCCACCTCTTGGCTGGGAGGAGACCAGCCACTCTCCTGCCTTTCTGGAGGCTGCCAGTCAAAGGTCCAGGTTCCAGCACCTGGTTCCTACTGATGGTTCCAGGAGGTGCACACAGGACATTCTGTCAGGCTTGCCCTGCATCTCAATGGCCTTCTATTTTTTTCTGTCATCAGCAGAGACTGTTCATCTGGTTCTCACATACTTTGTGGTTTTTCTCCTGTAGAACTTGGAGCCATGGTAATAAAGTCAGTTTTCAAGGAAGCGGTGGATTGAATGTGACTCTTTCAATGAAGCTCAGAATCACAGCACTTACTTGTCTCTTGATGTTGACAGCTGTGTTTTTCTGGAAGGACTCTATGGCTTCCATGTGTTTTATTTATGTGGGCCTCACACGATGATACAGTTCTGATCATTGGAAGTCAACTGCCCCATACTAGGTACTAGAGGGTCCCCTTCTCATCACTGTATGAATTTAGAATCATTAATTTTCAAACAGAATTGGTAACATTTATTTAGGTCAATTGCTTGTCTTTGAGGCAGTAACCTATTATTAACACCGTCTGGTTGATGAGCCAAGTGAGGTAGACCAAGATAAACTTTTCTCAAAAGATCCAAATAAGTGGTGGGAAGAAAGAAAGGGACGCTCTCTTGTTTTCACATATTTTAACCATGAACCCTTTTTTACAAAGAAAATTTTATGTGGAAACCCAATTTTCAAACCCATTAAATCAACTGGCATGCCACCATTTCAGAAGTTCTAAGAAATTACATCTATTTTTACTACCAATAAATGAAAAAAATCTTCAGGCTGTTTTGATGAAATGAGTATGTGGATTTGCAGATATGAGATGACAATTATTTCATAGTAGCATCAGTGCTCAATTTGCATTTGTCTTTGTGCCATCAAGTAAGCCTCTACTTACATGGGAACATAGATGGAAAAGTTACAGGAAGAAAGGACTGCCTGGCAATCACTGTACATTCTTTGGTTAAATCGACTAAGAAGTTTCAAGAGCACTGGGTTTTATTCTAAGTAGAATCACTAATAATATCTAGCTCCTACCCATATTCTTTATTATAAATATAATAATTAGAGGACCTAAAACATATAAATAAAAATATAATAAAAGTGTGATGCTCTGGTGTTTCATGCAATGCACACACTTTTTACAGGACCACCTACAGTATTCTGTGTTGAAAACATTCTCTGCATACATTGAACCCTGCCTGGCATTTAGTTGAATGCAGTCTGTGTGTGTTCATTTGTGCCACTTTATGCAACCAGATGTGTACAGGCTTGAATTTTAAGAAAAAGGAATTTCAAGTAAAAACTTTCTAAATAATGCCATAATTCCACAAAGTTTAACGATATGCACAGAGATGGGAGAGAAGCTTCAAGTTGTTAACAAAAACTGGTTAACGTAACCCAAGATAACACATTAGAGGGGCTCTGAGATTTTAAAATTTAGGGAACATGTTTGAGTGTGCTTTTGTTAAAAATAGTATACATGCTATCAATATTTGAGTTAGATATTGTGAAACATCTGGAAAACCCCAGGGAATTTTCTTGCTATACTCTATGGTTTGTATCTCTCTCCATGTTCTAGTGTTGACTATCCCCCCTTCCATATCTACTGTACTATCTTCTCTGTATCTTCAGCATAGTAAGCTCTTTGCCACCTGAAGGCCTTTGCATTAACTGTTGTTTCCTCCACTTGAAACACTCCTTGACATCGTGATGGCTTCATTTTTAATCTTTTGTTCTCCACTCAAGTAACACTGCTTCAGGATGAGAAACCTTCCTGCTAACAGATGGCTCCTTCCAAAAGAGCCCTCTCTCTGCTTCCTACACCCCATCATGTCATCCTATTAAATCCTAAGAAGACCCATTACATACCTTTCTTTTTTACTTACTTGTTCCTTGTCTTCCCCAACCAGAAAGAATAATCTGGAAGGACAGGCTGACTATCTACCTCAGTTTACCTGGACAGTCCTGATACATGTCTATTGTTCCAAGTGCTTCTTAGCACTGCCCTTTCATTCTCTAAAGTGTGTCATTTTGGACAACAAATTATATGGTCACTTTCACCATGCCTGACTTAGTTAAAGCCTTGTCTCCTGATCCTAACATAATACTCGGTACATGATAGATGCCTACTATGCGTTTGCTGAGATTAACATGTCCTGGATTGGAAATCATGAGTGCGGGGTTCTAGTTCCAGGTCCAGCCAGGGCCTAAAGCACCTAAATGATCAGCAGTAAAGCAGGTGTGAGCTTTAGCCAGCAGCATCCCCAGTGATTTCCATTAGCATGTGCTCTGTCCTATCAGGCCGATAACAGAGTACTTCCAGACAAAATGGTTCTGTCTCCAGAGATTTACATAGAAGTTCAAAATTAATTAATGGTCCAAAGCTTACACTGGCACAGGGGCCAAATTTGACTTGTAGTAGCAAAGAATTATCAGAGCCAGGGGAACCTCCTGGGGCACTGAGTGCCTGTTGCTGGGAACGCTTCAGTTCCCCAGGGCAGTGTATTCCCATGGAAAGAATGCTGGGTTGTACATTCTAATCCTGGCCTGTCAATTAATAGCTGTGACATTTAATCGCTCTGAGGCCAAGATTACTTCTGTGTAAAATGTAGAATGTGATTTTGATCCTCCTGATAAGATTCTCACATTTTTTTTCTCTCTCTCAAGTTTGCTGCTAATTATTGCTGCTAACTTTTGCTGCAAAAGCTGATTAAGTATTTTCTTGCAAAGTGTAAGTGACAAGACTGCCTTTTGAGATATTAATAAGAAGGAAGCCCAACATCATATAATTCATCCTGGCTGGCTGCCTGGCTGGCTGGATTTCAGGTCCAGGGATTGAAGGTTGGGTGAACTATACAAGGAGCTGAGATGAATCCTTCAAGTGCCCCTTAGAGAGACACAAGTCTGTTCCTGTCTCTTATGTCTCAATTTTGGACTTCCTAAAGTAAGTGCAATAATTGCTGTTTTGTTTCCATCCCAAGATCAAAAGAGGATTCCATGTGCAAATGTTGCTTTCAGGTGAGGAAGTTCTATATAAATCCAGAACCTTGAGGTATGGCACAAAGTCCAGGTAGGGGCTCTTACATGTCCAGGCAGGAGTCCAGTGAGAAACACTCAGGAGTGAATGAATTTCCCTTTCTGAAATGTGATAAAGGTGGCCACACAATTGTTTATATGGACCTGGGAGACTGGAAAGGTAAGAATGTAAGGATGCCCATATGTGGAAATGATGGGAATAAAGGCAGAGTGGAAAGGGAGGTGATGTGCTTTAGCACCTGCTTTGGGCCAAGTTGCTTTACATGGGGGATCTCATTTAACTTAACCCCGAGTACAAAGCCCACAGGAGAGGTCATTATCCTACTACAGATGAAGAAACAAAGGGTCAGAGAGCTTGAGTAACTTGTCCTAGAAATTGTAGGTCATGGTCAGGCCTGCTGAAGTCCCCAGGATGCAGAGACATAATTAGAAATTGGAAGTATGTGAATTATGGCACCATAAGAATTTGCCCTATTTGTGGGTTCAACCTTGAAGACTGGTCTGCCCCTTCTCCAACCAGGTGGTGAATGTGCCCTCCCTTCTCTTACTCCTCTGACCCCCCCACTCTCATGGGCCCACTCAACTTCAGGTCCACTTGTGTGGCAAACAGAGAAAGCAGGAAGAATTATGTCCATTCCTCTGCATCCTTATTTTGTGCACCATTCACAAAGCTTGTTTACTTGTTTAGTCATGGAAGTAACCTTCAACTAAGTCCCAGTGAACATTCTCAGCAATCTTGGAACCCAAACCAGCCCTCTGTGGTTTTGCTTAGGCATGAGGACACATGGCCTGGAATTAATAGAACCCGAATTCAACCTCATTTCTGTCTACCTCACCCACTCATGCTCTAGCTGCTCTACCATTCAGGGCTCTCAGAGGGATGTGAACAAAGATAGACTCCACCCTGTACATGATCCTTTTATAAAGTATGAAAGAATAGTGACAGGGATTTTCATTTCTTTAAAATTCATTCAAAACCATAGAAATTTAGGTCATTTTAGTAGATAGAATGTTTGCAGATCTAGCTCCAAAGAAGAGTTGAATATGAATTAAATACAAATGAGTAGTGCTCTTTAAATATTGTCTCTCTCTCTCTTTTTTTTTTTTGGCAAAGGGGGATGGAATTGATGACTAACTACTTCTTTTATTGTCAAGGTCTATTATTTTTTCATGATGACCTCAGAGTAGCCATGACATTTATGATCTTATTCATATGGGCTCCCAGCCCAGAAACACAGGGGAATAAATCTTTCCCTAAAATGAATAGTTCTGATGACTCTCAAGTACCATACTGTCTCCTAAAACAATTCAAACATTTTTGTTAATAAAGATACCTTTTATGTACATCCGTGTTTCATTTCTTCATTCTCTGACACTTAAGAGCCTTAAAAAGAATTTCTTCCCATGGTATCTCCAAGAGTGGAAAATACTGATTTTCAAAGTACTTCTGGAATTATAACTGGCAGCCTGGTGGAAAGAGCATGCCTTTGAGCATGAGACAGAGCTAGTGTTAAAGCTCAGATGTGAAGTTCTTGCTGTGCATCCTTGGGCATCTTCCTTAACCTTTAAAGACTTCTGCAGCCTCATCTATAAAATGCATATCATTATATCCACCTCTTGGGTGAAGAAAGCAATGCCATCCTGCCTGACTTCTGTAAGTGCTCAGTAAGCCTTATCTTTATTTCCTCATATCTTCATGGGCTTCTACGTGATCTGTGGCACATTTTCCTATATCGTTATTCTTTACTCTGACCAGGTCAAATATTTATTTAAGATGTTATTTAATTAAATAAAATGTATACATTTAAAATTTAACTTTTAAATAAAATTGTATTTTATTGTACAATATATCTTCATGTTTAAGATATTCAAACTGCACAGACATGCATATGATGACAGTAAATCCCTTTCACCTCCCCTGAAAACTAAAGTGGTACTTCTTGAAAGCAACCACAAATAATTGTTTCACATAGAATTTTCAAAAAAAATCACATTGTATATAGGTGTATAAATATGGGTATAATATATTTTTAGAGAAATATAATCATTTACTATAACTGATCTCCAATTTTTTCACTTAATTCATCTACCTGAATTATTTTTTATTTACTTCCTTGTTTTTGATAAGCTCATAAGGGTCCATCATATAATTGACTCTTTAATGAATAACATATATTTTACATTTTGCATAAATTAG